GGATGAGATCATGTGAAATTCATGTTAATTCTTCTTTATACATTTGACAGTTTGTTCAATGAAACTGTGCCTGGAGATGTCTTTGTTGTGAATTTTTAAATTACAAATTCAATTACCTTAATGGTTATAGGGCTTCTTGGCCTTTATAAAATCAGTTGCCATTGAGCCAACTCCTACTCATGGCAACCTCACAAGTGTCAGAGTAAAACTGTGCTCCATAGGGTTTTCAAAAGCTGATTTTTCAGAAATAGATCACCAGGCCGTTCTTCCAAGGCGCCTCTGGGTGGACTGGAACCTCCAACCTTTCAGTTAGCAGCTAAGCGTGCTAATTGTTTGCACCAGCCAAGGACTCCATGTGGACTTTATCCACATACCAAAGAATGGACTTTGGAATTCATGAAGAGCAGTGTGACCCTCAGCGGTCACTTAATTTTGCTGAGCCACATAATAAGGTTGATAATCATGTCAGCCACCTTGAGTGCCACAGCAATCAATAAGTTCATGGCTGTTGGTTTTAATTTTATTTATCAAAGGCAATGGGGAGATATCAAGTGTTTAGCACAGGGGAGGGAGGTGGTAACATTTGCATTCTAGAAAGCTGCCGCTGGGGCCAGGGTGAGAGATGGCCAGGAGTGGGGGGTGAGGTGGAGACCTAAGGTCCAGGGAGATGACCAGGTTCCCAGCAAGAGAAACTGGGTGTGGCCCAGGTTTTTGGAAGGAAGAGGATAAAATCAAATCGAGGGGAAAGTGAGCAAGACATGGGAGAAGAAACATTGGTTTGGGCCCTGCTGATGCGGGGGAAGGGGACTGGGAAAATGCCTAGCTGGCATCTGGACTGGGTTGTTGTCAGCTGCGGTGAGTCAGCCCCCAACTCATAGTGACCTCATGCACCGCACACCCAAACGCTGCCCAGTCCTGTGCCATCCCTATGATTAGTTGCAGATCGGACTGTTGTGATCCATAGGCCTTTCACTGGCTGGAAGCTCCACGGAAACCTGTGCAGCATCCTAGCAACATGCAAGCCTCCAATGACAGGTGGTGGCTGCACATAAGGTGTATTGGCGGGGAATTCTGCTACCGAACCATCCCTGGACTGGCAGGGTAGGGCGTCCAAGAAGAGGCCTGGGCTGGACAAAAAGAGAATAATTCACATTTATCAAGCTCTTACTGTATGCCAAGCCCTGTTCTAAACTCAAGGTTCCTGGGTGGCACAGTTTGTGCTCAGCGACCAAACTAAAGGCTGACAGTTCAAACCCATCCAGTGGTGCTGTGGAAGAAAGATCTGGAGATCTGCTTCTGTAAGATTTCCCATTGCCATCTAGTTGATTCCAACTCATAGTGACCCTATAGGACAGAGTAGAGGCTTCCCATAGGGTTTCCAAGGCTGTAATTTTTACATACTTGGGATGTGTTATCAGGAGGGACCGGTCCCTGGAGGAGGACATCGTGCTTGGTAAAGTAGAGGGTCAGCGAAAAAGAGGAAGACCCTCAAGGAGATGGATTGACACGGTGGCTGCAACAATGGGCTCAATTATAGCAACGATTGTGAGGATGGCGCAGGACCAGGTAATGCTTCCTTCTGTTGTACGTAGGGTCGCTAAGAGTCGGAGCTGACTCGACAAACCTAACAGCAACAATCTTTATGGGAGGCCAGGTCTTCCTCTTGTGGAGCGTCTGGTGGGTTCGAACCCCCAGCCTTTCAGTCAGCAGGCGAGCACTTAACCACTGCGCCACCAGGGCTCCTTTCTGTAAGATGACGTCCGCTGGAAACCTTATCACGTGCAGTTCTACTCTGCAACACATGGGGCCGCCATGAGTCAGAATCGACTCCAGGGCAACGGGTTTGGGGCTAAAGTCTATACACGTATTAATTCACTTAAACAACCCCAAGAGGTAGGAACTACTGTTATCCCTATGAGGAAACTGAGTCAAGTCACGTGCCCAAAGTTACAGAGCTGGGAATTGGTGGCGCAGGATACGGTACAGGTTCAGCCTGATTCCAGCGCGCCCTGACCGTCCCTTCCCGCTTCGTCCTGTCCCCTCTTCCCCAACTGGGGTCCGAGCATGCCCACCCCCAGTTGAGCCCAGTCCATGACACCCGCAGCTCTGGGCAGCCCCCACCTGGTCTGTCTCCGCCTAGGCGCGAAGGTCCCAGGACGCGCCGGGGACAAAGGACAGTTGTCTCTTCAGGCGCACTGCTAGCGAGGCTCCGCCCCCCCAGCAACGCGCGCGCGTGTGCGTCTCGGCCAGACCCACACAGCAGGTTTTGACTCGGGGGCTGATTGGCTAGCTGAGTAGCCGCCTCAGCAGTTTATTGGATGCGCGAGGTCCAGTGCCTCCTGCTGACTGGTTGAGATGGTCGGCTGCCCATTGGCTGAGACCGACTAAGCAGACACCGTAGTTTACTATTGTTTGGGTGTAGAGAATCCACTGGCTGCTGCCGATTGGTTAAAGAAAAAATGGCCCTCCTATAATTGGTGGGCAGGCTTCGTTCTGGTCCAATCATGGAATTAGTTGAGGGCGACCCGGGAGAGTGGAAGTTAACCCTTTAGAGATTGGTTCGGATTGGGCGCTTTGAGACCTGCTTAGCCTGCAAGGGGCTGCTTCCCTATTTTAACGCGCAGCCCCAAGTCGCCGGGGCTCGTTTACCTGGGCCTCAGTTTCCCCTCTGGTCCCAACGGCCGAAGCCTCTGCGTTCCTCCGGAGCAGTGGCCGCGGCCCTAAGTTTCCCCGCTCATCCCAGTGGGCTGAGCTTCCTGCGCCTTCCAGCCCCAATCCTCAACCTAACAAGTGCCACTAGCACCTAGAAAGCGGCGGTCCCCGGCCTCAGTTTCCCCACTTGAATCAACGAGCTGAGCTCCCAGTCACCCGCCTCCTCACCATGGTCGGTGGTCTCAGGCTTCAGTTTCCCCAGTGGTCCTGGAGGACTGAGTCCTCGGACCCCCTCCCCTGCACGGGTAGCCCGAAGACCTCAGTTTCCCCGCCGGTCCCCGCCCCTGGCCGGGCGCCCCCCTCACCCTGGGGGCGGAGCCGCGTCACGTGCCGGGAAGAAAGGCCCGGCGGCGCGCTGAACGCGGGAGGCACGGCCATGGCAGGTACGGCGGGGGGATGAGATCATGTGAAATTCATGTTAATTCTTCTTTATACATTTGACAGTTTGTTCAATGAAACTGTGCCTGGAGATGTCTTTGTTGTGAATTT